GGAGGAGGAGGGAGTAGGAGGAGGATCTGCCGAGTTTCGAATATCTTTGAGGAAAAAAAAAAAAAAGAGGAGGAGAGAGGAGAGACGAGGAGGAGAGAGGAGGAGAGACGAGGAGGAGAGAGGAGGGAGGACGAGGAGGAGAAGGAGGGAGGGAGGAGGGAGGGAGGAGGAGGAGGAGGAGGAGGAAGGAGGAGGAGGAGGAAGGAGGAGGAACTCCCGACTCCAAACTACTTGATTTACCAGAGAGAGATAGAGAGAGGGAGAGCGAGAGAGAGAGAGAGAGAGAGAGAGAGAGAGAGAGAGAGAGAGAACCAACCTGCTGCGCGCTGCTCGAAGCCCTGCTCACGTTGCCTGCCGCCGCTGCATGCTGCTGCTGCTGGTCGACGAAGGCGATGGGGTGGGCACGTGCTGCTGCTGGTCGAAGAAGGTGATGGCTCGGCTCCATGGAGGGAATCCTCGACGGCGGGGTTCCACGACGGCGGGAGGGAATCCTCAACGGCTGGCTGGGGGGACAGTCCAACAACAAAATTAAAGAACCGACTTCCCCCCCCCCCAGACTTCAAATCAGGTTCAGAGTCTTCAGACTGTTCAAAAAAAAAAAGAAGTACGGGCCTTCGCGCGGCCTCCAAAAACATTTTCGCGCTCGTTTTCGTAATTTTCCTAGGACCCCCCTGGAACCCCGAAAACTGAACGGACATTTTTTTTTTTTTTTGGTACCCTGCAATTTCGACCATGCGCCGCGCGTCGTGCGGGCGCTGCTTGCGCGCTGCGGCCTGCGCTGCACGAGCCCAAGTGTTGCGCACGACGTGCGCCGCAAGTACGACTTAAACTGATTGCTCGAAAATTTGAGTCTTGGGGACCAGTTTCCCTGTGGGCTGTAAGAGTTGTTTGGAGTTATCAACAGCCCATTGTCTCAATAACCGGGATTTTAGGGAAGCAGGGGAGGGACCATGAAAGAAAATGAGATTCTAGCGGTTAAATGCGAAATTACTAAAGACAAGTTTGAGAACTGGGAAACTGAGGCTATTGAGTGTATGGAACTTCAGAAGATGGTCCTAGAGAGACTGTGATTCAGAGGATGTGATCTACTTTCGTAACCGAACTGGGAAGCTGCACAACACTGGCTCATTACTAGAAACCGCTGGGCACGTCAGAGCGGAACATAGGTGAATCGTGTGACTCGAAATCTCTTCTCAAGATCCCACTAGTTCCAGGAACAGCAAGCATCGCTCAGTAACCTACATTTTTCTCAATAGTCTAACACTAAGTGACTCACATTTGGTGACTCAATAAGCTGGCATTCAAGCAGTATTCTTTTCTCAGTCAGTAAGCTCAGCAATATTCTTTTCTCAATCAGTAAGCTCAGCAGCATTCTTTTCTCGGTCAGTAAGCTCAGCAGCATTCTTTTCTCAGTCAATAAGCTCAGCAGCATTCTTTTCTCAGTCAGTAAGCTCAGCAGCATTCTTTTCTCAGTCAGTAAGCTCAGCAGCATTCTTTTCTCAGTCAGTAAACTCAGCAGCGTTCATCCCTCAGTCAATGATCCCAAAACATTCAGTTTCTCAATCAGCCATTAATCAGCAATAATCAGCTTTCTGATCAGCAATCAATCAGCTTTTGTGATCAGCAATCAATCAGCTTTCTGATCAACTGTCCATCAGTATTCAGAACAGCATTCGGAACAGCGTTCAAAAGGCGTTCAAACAGCGGACGCCTGTTAGTCAAGCACAACCTCTCTTACCTCTATCAGGGAGTAACTATTTATCCGAACATATGAGAGAGATCAACCGCATCACAGTTGGCCAGTCGGTCCTTGACAGCCTCAATTTGATTGCTGCCAGGGAGAGCTTCCCCTACAAGTATATCAAGATTGATGGCTTCAGGCGTGAAGACCTGTCAATCTTCATCGCTCTCACTGAATTCGCAGGAGGTGCAGTCAAGGATTTGTGGATATATCTGAAAAACGGGAAAGAGACACATCCTCATTTTGATGCAGTGTGGGTCGCAGCAGCCAGGTTTGTGCAATGGAAAGCTGAGAGACTCCAAGGGAGCACAAAGCTGGTCTATAGCTTTGGTCCTAAGCTTTTCATTGATTACCCCAAGCCTACGGTTCCTTTCTACCTCACTGACGGATCATACTGGGGTGACCTTGTAGACCTAGCCAAGAGGTACATCTCCCCTGCAGTGATTGATTACGAGGCGGTGACAGAGCCCTCAGAGTTCCCACATCTCAGGAGGGGCATTTTCTCTCAGCCCTATCTCCCCACTCTATGGGAGGAGTTTTGTGCCATGGTTGACTTCCGTACCATGGGACTTGGATGGAAGTGTTTGGAACTAGCAGGCTTCAGGTGGCTCTACATACAGAGGCCACAACCCCAGAGCGTACGGAGACATGGCAAGAAGCCCAAATGACAGACAACAAAATGAGAGGTTGAGTGTGAAGCTTAGAGGGATGAGTGAGGACTCTTGATCGGTGCTGGCCATGCTCTCTTCCATATGTACTTCCTGAGATTATTATGAGTTCTCATTCTTTCTATCTGACCTTGTTATTGTCATTTTGCCTGAGTCAGTCAGTCCTGCTTCTTGCATTATTCTTGCTTGATGATCGCTCTTCAGGATGATTCAGTCACAGTTCTCAAAATCAGATTGACGTAATTGATGCATGCATAGTGCCCCACAATTTTATGATTATTAATTGCATGATTCTCTGCTGTTCCGAATCAAAATAAAAGATTCCTAAGACCGGGGACCGACGAAGACCGCAATTGAAGGGTCTCGCTCGAAGTGGAACGCACACATCAGGAAGGGATTTGCATTATTTAATTTATTTTATTTATTGCAATCGACATCCAAAACATTGCATGACAGCCTGTCGACTTTCCGGTCGCCTGAAAAGGTCCGACTGGAAAAAGTGCGACACCACGCCCAACCCTGAAATCGCCCTTCGAAGGGTTGTATATGTGCCCGCCATTCGAAGGGGCCGGCTTCTCAACCACCTCGGTCGCTACGGAATGTTGTGAGGAAACCTGGGGAGGGGTCGCCTACTGTTCGCTGAAGCCACGGGCAACTACGATTATCACTCGCTGCTCCCGCATCCGAGGTCCTTAACGACCAGCAGGGGAACGGGGTTGGAATCCCTGTCACGCCCCCATTTTGGAAAGAGTGCTCGAACTCACTTTCGGATAACCAAACGAATAATAAATAACTAAATAAATAAAATAAAATGTTCAGGCCAGCAGATCCGAAATCAAGGTCATGCTCGTGTCAATGTCCGTGCCTGCGGAATCTCAGATCCGCAGGAACGGATCTCAAGTTTACCTGCACCAGAACGAACAGAGATAGCAAAGGTATTTTTGGGAAAAGCGAGCACCAGGGAGAGCAGTACAATAGAGATTAAAATAAGGCAAACCTGACATTTGTAGATGCCAAGAGTTCACACCACATTCGGATCACATTCATCGTTCAAGTTTACCCGATCGGTGAACCAGCAACGACAACTCGATTCCCCAATGAGCGCTACGGGACTGGGCTGTCAACGAACAACAAGTGTCTGAGCTGTAGTTGGGAACAATTTTGTCAAGGAACAGTGGGTGTCTGATCTGCCAGCGAACGACAAGTGATTGATCTTCCGTTGCAAACAGATCTGCTAATGAACAGTGGGTGTTTGAGATGCCAACGAGCAGCTCGAAGCGGATCTGCCAGTTGGTCGCAGGTGACTGATCTGCCAATGATCAGCAGTTGTCTGTTCTGCCAACGACTGATCTGCCAATGATCAGCGGTTGTCTGCCTACGAATGATCTGCGAATGATCAGTGGGTGTTTGTTCTGCCAATGTCTGATCTGCCAGTGATGAACACCACGAAACTGATACGGGAATCAGCACCCCCCCCTCGAACTCCTCTGCTTGCATATGTACGAGCTTCTTCACGCACCTGGTGCGGGATCATGAACAGGTTCTCTTTGCTGTTCACTCTTTCTCCCAGTCGTCCAATATAGTTGTATAGATCCCCTGTTCCCGCTGGTTCTCCCAGGCCAGTTCAAACTTTCTCTCTCTCTCTCTCTCTCTCTCTCTCTCTCTCTCTCTCTCTCTCTCTCTCTCTCTCTCTCTCTCTCTCTCTCTCTCTCC